AGGATGGCAGCAAGAAGTCCTGTTAATTTCCCTAACAGTCTGCCAGAAGTTAATCAAAACCTCAAGTACACTAAAACCAAAAAACTGTACATTCCTCTATCACTTCAATGAAGCACCCATAGGAGAATATTAACTGTGGAGATCTTTTACACATGATTAGATTAAAGACTGGGTGATCACTATCCTAAGTCATACTTCCAAGAGGAAGAACTTAACCTCTTTTCAGTCCTACACTTTGTCCCACTTATTGCAACCTTACCTCAAGAAAGATATTGTGGAGAAAGTGCAGAAAAAGGCAACAAAAATGATCAAAGGACACTAGCAAAGTTACCAACACTAGGACTTTTCAACTTAGGAACAGAGCAAGTAAGGGTGGAATGAACATGATGGAGCATATACAATTATGTATGGGGTACAGAATGGAAACTGCAGCCATCCAGTGAGGTTGAACTCTGGGAAATTAAAGATTCACACATGGAATTATGTACTTTTTCTCGAAGAACACAGGCAAATTAAGGAACTCACTGTCTCCGGTTTTGATGATGGCCTTCCAAAGCATAGTTTCTTATAGGATAAGGCAATCAGTGGCCACCAATCATGATGACTACGCATAACTTCCACTATCAGAAGTAGCACACCTCTCAATACCTCTTGCTGGGACATGAACAAGATGGTGCACAGTTGCACTCATTTTCTGCCTGTCCTCTTCTCATAGCTTGTTGTCTCATCCAAACTTGGCAACCGTGAGTTGCTGGCATAGTGAACAAAACACAAAGACTCCATGGGCGGTGAATTTTAGGGTTCTGATGGATTTGTTAACCACACCAATACCAATCCTTGCTGGGTTTGTACAATATGATAAGCTTTGAATAGGGATTGAATAATGGAATGGGTGCCCACAAACCTTGGTGGCTCTTTTAAAATCCCCATGGTGTCTTTAATCATGTAAATCCAGACACTGTCTGAATGCAGTTACCAAGTCCCCCATGTTTTCCCATCCAAGGGAAACTAAATCCTGTACCATTGCCCACTTACTGGTAGGAATTCTTTAACATATGTTTGTAATCTAAGTAGTTTTCTGGAGAATATGAATTGCTTTTCTCTTGATAATTCAGATAATGAAACTTTATTTGTACTTATTTGGCAATAATTAAATTTCACTTCACCTTTATAGCCTGTCTCCTACAGGGAACAATGTTTATGCAACTGATTTTTAATGAGGCCTCAGTTTCAAAAGTGCTAGAGAGAAATGTTAATTGGGCCTGTTAGAGCTATTTGCAAGTTTGTAGTGTACAAACTGAACTGTTTTTCTATCACTTTGGGGAGGACCTGAAGTTTTACAAAATTACAATATTTTGTATACCTAAAGATAATCGTACTTCTTGTTTTCTATAGTTTTTGGTTATAATTGGTGGAACAGAAGCGAGCATAGGTTATAATAGCTGCTAGGTTTACCATTTGCTATTTTTAAAAGTAAACTCAATATGCCTTTTCAGAACGTGATATACAGAATGTGGCTGGAACATAAGAAGAGTAATTTTATTATTTTAGTTTAAAATGGGACTCTGTAATATATCAAATTTTGCCAATATTTAATATTCCTTCATGTTCTTTTTTCTGTGATGGTTTCAGTTATCTAACACTCACCCGTGGTTTATTTAATCCAAAATTGTTAAGTTCTTGGTTGTCATGATGTATAAAGGTGCTCACATTAACAAACCATGGTTTGCTAACCACAAGCAACCAATGTGAACCAATGGTTTGTGAAATCTGGGCAGTTCAAACCATGTGTGAACCCAGAACCATGAATCTTTTTGCCATGGTGACAGGCAAGAGTGATTAAAAAAAAACTCCAGATACTCTACATGCCAATACTATTTACATTAGAACAATGTTAATACTGCAAAGGCATGTAAGGGAGCAGACAAAGGGGGAAGGAAATAAAATACCCAAGGATTGAGAAAACAAATCAAAGTCTGATTGAGAGCCAGTGTAGTACAGTGGTTAAGAGTATGGGACTGAAACTCAGGAGATCTGATTCCTAGTCCCCACTCAGGCATGGAGTCAGCTGTATGACTTTGGGCCAGTCAAACACTCTCAACCCAACCTACCTCACAGAATTAATGTGAGGATAAGATTGAGATGAGGAGGGGATTTATGTAAACTCCCTTGATTCTGGGAAGAAAAAAAAAAGGCAGGACAGAAATAGAATAAATTGATTCATTGACTGTCAGCCAAGCCAACCTGGGGCAGGCTGACAAACCATCCATTAATGAAGGGTTTAAAAATGGATTAACATTAAGTACAAACCAGGCCAAAGCCAGAGCCTGAAAAAGAGCTTCCTTCTATCCCAACCTGTCCGTGATATTAGCTCACTGGCAGTACTCTTCTCCGTGTGCCTTCCACTAGCAATGCCTTCTTTCAGGGTCCAGGCAAAATATTTTTATTTATTCATGGTTTTAAAGTACTTCTAAAAGTTACTGTTGGCAGTATTGTTTTCGTATTGTTGACTGTTTTGTTTTTGTTTTTAATTTCCTGGATCATCATTTACCTGTGGTTTCAAGTATTTTAAGAATGCATGGTGATACAGGTTGCTCTCATAATGAAAACATTTCTAAACAAACATTTCTAAATGATCTGGATTGTACTGAAGTTATGGAATTAGTCAAGTTTGTCTGTGATTGAAAAACAATATTGAACAAAAATGTTATAAAGGTGATCTTCCTCAGATTAGTAGAAAAAAATGGCTTTAGAGACTGAAAGAGGGATTGCTAGCTTATAAAACTTGAGTTATAGAATGCTTTGCTTTGGAAACAAGTTGCTGGCAAAACTAGTAACCAGTTACAAAAGGATGTATTGACAATTTTCCCTGAAGGTGAGGTGTGGGGATGCCACAGTTTAGGAGCTGGCCTGAAGTGAGCTGGCACTAGTATTCTCGTAAGGATCCCTTTTCATCCTCTACTTTGTCTTAAGTTTGGTAAGTTCTCCCTCTAAAGATACCCATCAAAAGTGGTAGTTGCCGTCTCAGCTCTTTGTTGAGAGGATGAAACTAGGGAAGTGAACAACAACTAAGCTATTGGGCATTTCTTATTTATTTATTTTGAACATTTTTATTAGAACATTTTTATCCCATTCTATACAACCAATTGTCTCAGGATGGCTTATAGTAAAATATAAATAATATATAAACAATATAAATAAACAATATAAACATAAATATAAATAATATAGAAATGATCTACAACTAAATAACAAGATAAAATTATTATCTTGAAGATTGTTTATATTTATTATGTATCCTAATGTTACCAGCCATGTGCTTACAGAGGAAGTGTAATTCTAAACAGTTATTCAGGTATGTTCCTAATCAATATGCTTGTAATTGTAAATCTGATGGGCTGGATCCAGAATTATTCATACCGAGAAGAAATCCACCAAATTCGAATGCATCTAGCTCAATATATGACCAAGGCTGGGTCTAACTGGCTGTCTGCATAACAAACACAACACGCAGTGAGGTTGCAACAGGTGTGGGGCATGCACAGCAGCCACTGTGAATATGTAAGACCTACCTAGGGGGTCTTGTGTAATGAAAATCCAGTGAGCACTGAATTATCTGTGTGCTGCACTTCACCTAAGGAGCTGGATATGCCACACAGCACCAATGGGTGTTGGGCACAGTCATTCACAATGGGTCAGTTAGCTGCAGCACACCACCGGACTCTCTCACTGCATCCTTTGAGGGAATATGAACTTCAAAGAGTCCCTAAATTTTTATTCTTTGGGGAAGACTATGATATTTTCCATTCTAAATAGGTATATTTCAGATTTGTAAAATTCAGCCATGTACTAGGTTTTAGCATGTATTTTAAATTTTCTTAAATATATTTAAGAATATTATATTCTTAAATATAAATTTTCTTAAATATAATCCATGCTGAAACCTACTTTGTTAGTTGCAGTTCAGTATTTCTACTATAAAATCTACTTCACCAGTCACAGATCAATATTTCTAGTATGAAAATTCTAGGAGGTTAGGAGTCCCATGCAGTTATTTTCCATATCATTCACCTACCTATACCATTATCTAGTAACAGGTACATTACTGTACAGAGTAATCAGATTCAGTGTAGGATATCAGAGGGAAAAGTGTCCCATGGGTATAATCTCACCAAGCCAATTGACTGGCCTCATATTTTTCCTCTTCCTGAAGAGACTTTTAAATCCCTTATTGATAAGAAAATGCAGTTAATCTTCCTGTCGATGGCCTTGTGTGAGGCCTACCATGAAAAATGAAAAAGCCATAAAGTCCATGCTGTTTTATACAACTTTCTTGAGCTACTAAATTAAGGTTGAAATTTTCATACCATTTTCATACCATTTTCTGCAAAAATAGTTGCCAGGTTATTGAGCTTATGAATTCTGAAGCACATTTATCCATAATCCTAACACTTCTAAACAGACCATAGGAAACCACAATGCTTTTCACTGAAAAGCTTTCTTAGAGGGGAAAGCATCTTCTGGTGCTCTTGAAGAAATATATTTTTTAGACAAATGCCTGTATTAGCAGGACTTTTCTACTGTCTCACACGGTGCCTCTAGGATTTATGTTTTTAACACATCTTTTTGCCTTTTCTGTCACCAGATGGACATAAGAGTTCATGACATACCATGTAGGATTTTTTTTAATGGATCCAAGAAAAATAACCACATGCTGCTATCTTCTTGGTATAACTCGATGATTGGGAGAGTTACTACCTTGATAGGAGCTATGGTATGCTTTCAGTCTGCAAAACCATGAAATAGCTAGACTCTAAATTACAATAAAATACTGTTCACCTCTCCACGAACCTAGAAAGATTAATGAGATGCTGCTGATGGGAATATCTGTGCTACCAGAGGCATAACAGGTCATAATCATTGTTCAAGTAGCCTCTAAAAGATGGACAGTAAAATGTCACAGATGGCTCCCAGAATGAAAGCTCAGCATTTCAGCTTACCCATAACTGAGACATCGTATTCGATGAGCAAAGTTGCTTCTTGCCCACACTGTTTGAGAATACTCATGGCTTCGCTGTGTGATGTTCCAACAAGCCGAATACCATCAACACTGAGCAACCTGTCACCTGGCTTGATTGTACCCTCTCTGAAACAGGATCAAAAGAGCAGTCATTATTAATCTGATATAATGAGATTTGGAGATAATAGCCACATGCAAAGAGATTCTTTAATACCCCTTCCCAAATTTCAATTGAACTGTCTTTTTTCTTAAAAATTATTGTGACTGCAGGACAGTTCAGGGGCCACTAGGAAAAAAGAATTGTTTCCAGCAGAAAACCAGTGACCAGAAAATAGTAGCACATTATTAAATAGCCATTGTTAAGTATTATCTTTTTCTCTAACATACATGTGTCCACTCCAATATGAACACTCAAGGAAGGCTATGTTTTGAAGCAAAGGAAAATAAAGTATCACTATAATTACAAAATACAGATATACATCAAAATATAGGTTAGCAAAATGAATACTATTAACCCCCGCTTAATCTTTTCATTACATGCTACCCTAAATGTAAAGGTCTTAATACTACCTGTGGAAGATGCTGAGGCTCCAGTTTTGCTTACTCTTCACAGGAAATCGGTCCTATAACTGTGAATTAGCTTTAGGTCACCTTCAGGATGCTACATAAACTGCATAGGGCATTCACACTGCTTTATGGGTATGAGCTGAAGCCCCTGCAGCTGTTCTATATGGCAATATAGCAATTACACAGTTGCTGGGTGCAGGGGAAGAACAGCATCACTGCAGAAACTTTTAGCCACTTCCCTACTGCATAAATTAAAAACCACTTTGCCACCCCTTATAACTCGCTGTATAGGCAGCAGTGGCAAGCACTAACACCGTCTCTGAATGCCTCTTTACTAACCTCCATTGACACACAAAGAGGCGAGGCCTTAAACTGATGCTTAGCTAAAGTATCAAAGAAAGTTGTCTCTCACATTTTAATGGGAGAAATTGCAAACAGTGAGGGATAATCCCTTCATTTTTTTGATATGCATATTTTGAAAGTACTTGTTTTCCTTTCCTGTACCATCTGAAAGAACACAGACCCTTTGGCCCACTTCTGCATGCTCTCCATTATAAAAAGGAATGGAAAAGGTTTTGGCATCCATGTGCGAAGGGCAGAGCACAGTGGACAAGTAACAGGATAGCGAGTAACGTAAAGGTGGAGATAGAAGTAGTCCTACATCAGAAACAGCTGCTTCTCTCAGCAAAGTCATACAGTGCTCCGTGTACCCATGGAAAATTGAGGGCCTTGGCACCATCAGCCCATGGCTGGAGTGCTGCCAACTAGAGGGAAGGCAAAAAGGTGGGGAATCACCCATCCCTTGGCCCTCACTTGGCTGCCCCTTGCAGTCCACACACACGAGCTCCAGAAAGGAGGGTGGTAGCCAAGGACAATATTCTCTGGCACACCCCAAGATTCAGAGAAAATGTACGATTGCAGAAGAAAAGAATGCACATCAGATTTCTGGACTGCTCACTTTTCTTAATCTTTGTCCTGATCCAAAAAGGGATGAACATACACAAAATTTTGTATGGGAACTGGTAAGCACATTCATTTGTGAGAACTGCATTATCAGAGGTAGGACATGGATATTTGTGAGGAAGAAAGGGATGCTTGGGGGTGGGGCACATGCAAACGCTCACACAGGTGATGATCCACTGTAGCCTGAAGCACAGTGCATGCAAACAGTCAGCTCAGGATGGAACAGAGTGGCGCGTGGGCCAGCACCACTAGGAAGGATGACTGAAACCAGCACCTTGACTGGTTTCTGAATTTATTTTTTTAAATAACATTTTGATGCTATTACTAATATAACTGCAATCTCAATAGTTCCGTATTTTTCCACATTTACTAGAAGAGCCTTTAGCTAAATCCTTCTTTGGCCATGAAGCCCATTTGTTGACCTTGGGACAGTCAGCATCTCAGGCCTAACTTTATTCAGGTTAGTAACCTCAGGTTGTTATGAAGATAAAAGTGGGGGAAGCAGCTGACTGTTTAGCTCCTTGGAGGAATTACTACTATTACTACTGCTGCTACTGCTACTACTTATGCATTTATTGTGAAACACATCAACAAAAGCTGTACTAAGATACTGAAATGAAAGAAAACATCTTAAAATTAAACTATATGCAAGTTTCAAGATAAACTCAGTATGCATCTTGCAAAGTACATTCTATTCCTCTTAAAGCATTTTAAAAAAGTAAACTCTGCTTAACAATAACACACAATTGTGTGTCTCAATTAAAATTCATTCCATGCTGTCTTCTGGAATGCCTATTACCACTCCTTCAATAAAGCATATAATTCTTAAGGCACAATGGACATGAATGCATCTATTGTGCTTTGCAAATGTCAGTCTTTACATACACCTTTCTCAAAAATGTATCCTTTTTCCTCCCTGTCTCTTTCTCTCTGTCTCTCTCGTATGTGTGGGCGCATGCACATGGACTGCAAAAGATGAATTGTACCTGTCAGCAGGCCCTCCAGGTCTAACACATGTTATTACAACTGGACGAGATTTATTTCTGTCATCATGTGCTCCACCTAGAAAAGAGAATGAAATAGGCACTTTCTTCTTACTACTTCTATAAAAATCTATTTCCAAACTAACCACCTAGAAACATCTGCAGCATGCACAGACAGAACATTCTCTCCTCTTCCCCCACAAAACACCAAGATGCTTTTTCTGTGGTGAATTACGGTGTTCAAGACTCTGTGGAGCTTAATCCAGCTAAAGTTAGTTAGATGTTCCAGACAGAAGACTCCTAGCATTATAATATAGAAACCATTGGTCAGCTGTCAGATCTGTAGGAAAATACAGAAGGGCCACATTATTTATTTATTTAGAAAATTTCTAGGCCACCCCATTCACTGAAGCCTCGAGGCAGCTTACAAATAAATAAATTAAAATACATAAATTAACAATATAAAACACATATAACAGTATAAAATAAGTTGCCCTGGCCAAAGAATAAAAATAAATACCATTAACAATTAAAATGACGCTTGAATAAAAAGGTCTTCGCCTGGCGCCGAAAAACAAATAACGACGGCACCAGGCAGATCTCTCTGGGGAGCGCATTCCATAGATTGGGCGCCACCGCAGAGAAAGCCCTCCTCTGAGTACCTATCCTCCTAATTTCCTTCACGGAAGGTTCCCGGAGAAGAGCCTCTCCCGCTGATCTCATGGGGCGAGCGGGCATATATGGACGTAAGCGCTCCTTCAGGTAGCCAGCACCCAAGCCGTTTAGGGCTTTATAGGTCATCACCAACACCTTGAATTGGGCCCGGACTTCAATGGGAAGCCAGTGAAGCTGACGGAGGACTGGAGTCATGTGAACATAACTCCCAGTCCCCGTCAGCAGCCTGGCAGCTCTATTTTGAACCAATTGAAGTATCCGGACTGTCTTCAAGGGTAGGCTCATGCAGAGCGCGTTACAGAAGTCAAGGCGGGAAGTCACCAACGCGTGTGTCACTGTCGCCAGGCAGTCGTACTCCAGGTAGGGGCGCAGCTGATGGATCAGCCGAAGCTGAAAGAAGCATGAAGAAGACAACAATACATGGACCACTACAAGGTTCTTTAAATGGAGCAGGGTGAGGCCACCATTAAACCACATTGGGAAGTACCCTAAATTCCATTAAAAGCAACAGAACTGTTGTTACAATTCTGAACTTAAATCCTGAACAGTAGAGTCAATGTGGAAAGTTACCTCGCACATACGACTTAAACATTTTGGGACCAGGCTACCTGAAAGGTTATATTTACTGATATGAAAATTCCTGTAATCTGAGGTCTTCTAGACAGCCTATTTAGGGCTGCCAACACCTGAGGTTTTTTAGGTTTTTTAGTGTCTGTATTCCAGGTTTTGAATTCTACTCCTAGCAATGCTCAGCTGGTTTCCTTTTTGGCATCCTTCCACTGCTATGCCAACTTAAAAAAAATAAATAGCCAGGTCTTTGCCTCCTGTTCAGCTTATCTGTTTTAATGCTCATGAAATTTTAACTAATTTCTGTCTTGTGTTTTATTATTTTATTGACTGACCCAGATTGATTTTTATTTGGTCTTCTATTTACATATCATCATGCATGTTTTATTGCTTGCTGTGTTTTAATTCTAATTGTTAACTACCTTGAATACTTAGGTGCCATATCAATTTAACTAATAATTCATGCATAATGTCCAAAGAGCAAATATTGACACATGCTGGCTTTGTATAGAAATTAAAACAACAAATTGCTGGTGCAATGATTCTCAAACTGTGGGCCACAGGAAGGTTCAGATGTTAAGAGATGTGAAGCTATCTTTGCTTCAGCATGTACACGATAGGCAGGTTGAATGCCTTCTCACTGAATTATCACTGCATGCATTTGGATTTTGGGAGTGAGTGTTCCTCCACTTGCTATATCACCTCATCCTGATTTTTTGAACAGTAGCTGGTTTATTTGATGTTGTAAATCTATATGCAGCTTTAGGAGGAACTGTCACTGATACCTTGCTCTGTTCTCCTTTCTAATGTCATTGTTGGGTTACTGATGCAATCTGCAGAATTTTGCACACAGCACAAGACTTTAGGGACCCTAATATGCACAAGGATCTTTGCAAGTTCAAATGGTCAGTGCTGTGCTGGGTGGGGGCACAGAAGGCAGAATAAGTTCAAAAGCAGGGTAAGCCCCAAAATGTTGAAAAACCATGTCTAAAAGGAAACTTACCTCTAATAACAAAACCAAAAGTGTTCCCTTCTTTATGTAAAGTAACTTCTACAGTTCTAAAGATGACACCTGAACCTTGTACAGCTGAAAAACAAGAAGTTATGATTATATTCAATACAGTTGCTGTAAGTAGTACAATATTCCTAATATAGCCAAGACATGTAGTTTTATATGAAAACAAAACTAAAATAATCATTTCACTTGGAGACAGTAGGCTTGTTCGGATATAATTGTAGCACCCAGTGACAATTCATGGATTAATTAATCCACAAACTGCTGGAATGTGGACTGTGCCTGAGCCATATGTGAGCTGCTTCTGGTTTCTTGGAACAACCTACACATGCCGCATTTATGGATTATTTCTATATTATTCAAACAGGGGAACTTGGGGCTGTTTGTGGGTTAAACAATCCCATTAATTCAAGAAAAAAACCCACAGGTTAAATTAGGGTTGTTTAACACACAATGGCCTCTGTTCCCACATCACGGAAACAACTGAGAAAGGCCAGATTTGTAGATTGTTCCATTTGTAGGAAAATGGAAGTGTCTCAATTATGGCAAGTCCCCCTTAACTTATGGTTTAATTAATTGAATTAAAACAATCGCTACCGGACACTGCTTTGTCCAAAGAAGTCAATTACATTTTTACAAAAAAGAATTTCTATGATTTCAACAGAAGCGGTCACATCGAACAACTAAATCTCAGTCAAAATCGTTGTATATTCTTATTGTACAAGGGGGTCAGATGAGACATAAAGATGTTTAGATTGCTTAGCTTGAGGCAAACCAGACAAATTTCACATTTTTCCAATGCCCTGTCAGTGGAAACAGAGGTGGGAACTTTGTCTCTTTCTCATTATGGAAGGAATTGTCAAACTGTTGTTACATCTCTATCAGTACAGTGGTACCTCGGCTCACGAATGCCTTGGTTCACAACCAAATTGGGTCGCGAACAAACATTTCATGGAAATTTTGACCTGGGTTGCGAACTCCGCATTGGGTGGTGACCAAGATCGCAGCCATCTCCTCCCCTTCCCGAGAGGGGAGATGACCACGATCGCAGTTGCGTTCGTGCAGGGAAGACGTGCGTGATCACAGGCACGCTCCTGCAGGAAAGACAGGCGCAGCACAGCACAGCTGCAATCACGCACTTCTTCCCTGCATGAATGCGACTGCGATCGTGGCCATCTCCCCACTCGGGGTGGTGGGGAGATGGCCATGATCGTGCTGGTTTGGGGGGGGGAGATGGCCGAGATTGCACCCGTCTTTCCTGCAGGAGCATGCCCGTGCCAGGATTTCTTTGAGAAGCACCACCCCAACATAACTGTAACGAACAGTGTTGAATCTGATGAACGATAACATGGTCTCTCATTTCCAAAGGTTATGCAGCGCAGGAAAAAACAAGTGACTATAGACAGATTTTTCACCAAAATTGACCCTGCAGCTAAGAAACAAAGAAGAGAGGAACCCCTGAAAGAGATCTCCCCAGTGTCCTTATGGAGGGGGACTCTCCCTCAAAACAATAACCTCCCCCCCACCTAGGTTATTGTTCTCCACTGTGCTGTACAGTACTTTGTTACTTTGTTATTCTTTGTCACTTTGTTTCAAATTTTTCTGATTAAAAAATAGTTACAGAATGGATTAACCTTATTTACATTGAACCTTATAGGGAAATTTGACTTGGCTCGCAACCAAAAATTGGCTCACAACCACATTTGGAGGGGCCAGAACGGATTAAGCTTATTTACATTGAATCTTATGGGGAAATTTGACTTGGGACCCAACCAATTTGGGTCACAACCAGAGTCATGGAACGAATTAAGTTCGTGAGCCAAAGTACCACTGTATTTAGTAGCTCTCCAGGGTTTTAGGCAGGAGATTTCCAGGCCTACTGGAGATAGAACTTTGAACCTTGTGCATGCAAAGGAAGTGTTCTAACACAGAACTATGTTTGTTCGCCACCAGAGAGGGAGAGCACAGGCACAGAGTCCAGTATGGCTCATCATCCCCAGGCCATGTAGTAGGTTTCCAGGCAAATGGGCAGGGGATGCTGCAAAGGGGACTAAGAGGAGACATGAATAAGGTAGAAAGTTACACTTATAATACTTTGTGAGATAATATTTCAATCCTAATAGGGTATCTTTCTTCCAGTCTATCAGGTGACTACTGCAACAAATCCAGAGCTACAGCAATATAAGTGAAAAAGCAGGTTTCTGAACATACACATCTGTACATAATAGTAATTCATTGTCAATAAACAAAACACAGAACTTGAATTTTAGGTTGGGCAGAACAGTAGTATAAGGTGTGGTTCATTCTGTTCCAATAAGATAAAATCAAGAGATAGAAATTCTTGGATGAAATGCACAGAATTTACAAATGCATTTCACTCTTAATATTATGCCAATATTTATTGAAAGTAATATTGAAATAGTCCAATGAAAACTTTTTTCTCCATCTGTGGGAACTAAAGAATACTGGGGGTACAAGAGAAAAGCTCAGTTACAAAAATTCTGAAACCTAAATAAATATCGCTAGGATGAAGAAGGCAGACAATACCTATACAATTGTAACTCTTGGATGAACTTGCAACTCATTAGTTCTTCAATGGCTCTCTGAAGAAATTCACATTTATTTTGAAATATTTTTCAGTATTTTTCTAGGTATTAAGTCTATCATCAGTGATACTAATTCTAAGCCCATAAGTAGTTTAGAGAAATTGTTACCAATGCAGCTTTATTTTTTTATTATCCGAACATTTTATCTCTTCAGCATGTTTTATCTTGTTCAGCCTCAAACTGTTCCTTTGAGAGAGGGTACTATTATTTTTTTAATTTATAAGGGAGAAGTAGAAGTCCTTCAGTATATATAATATAGCAGTTAAATCAAGAACGCCAGTTCTAGACACAATTTTTAAACATTGACTGGTGTGTGGGGTTGTGTGAAAATTGCAGTGTGTCACTGTGAAAATTACAGTGGCAACCATTAATATAGGAAGGAGTTGGCCAAAAATTGTTGACCAAATATTTACAGTAACAGCAAGGCTATCATTCAGTCTTATTACCAAATATATATGCACACGGTCAGACTTCTCGAAACTTAAAACAAATGGTTACAAGTTGTAACAGTAATGGAGCATGACAGACTTCTTTTTCAATTCAGTGGACAAAAATCACATGTATATTGAGCATAACAGAGCAAATGTGGTTATTCAATTCAAAATAAATATGTTTAACCTATTAAGATTCCTGGATGTTCAGTTGATTTTTAGTTAATCAAAACCCCATAATTCAGCTCAGAAAGCTTAATTATTCACAGCAGCCACCAAACAACAGCATAAACTGAGCACCTCAGTGTTTAAAAATGCACAAGATTTAATTTAACCAATTGCACCTAAAGCACACGACATTCAAATTACATTTTCAGACCAAAGTCCAGCATACAATGACGAGGCTTACGATGACAAGTACTTCTACTACTGCACGACAGACAGCACTTTTAATTCATACGATTGGGTGCACCAATTATCAAGTTATGTCAGTGTGTTCAGATGGAGGGGCAGTTGTATAAATCAAATGTATAATTTGATTTATACATTCAAAAAATAGAAGCCAGTAGAAGATGGTTTCTTTAAGAGAGAGGGCCAGTGTGCTGTAATGATTAGGAATGCAGGACTGGCACTCAGGCAACTGTGGTCTAGTCCCTGCTTGGCCATGGAGCTCACTGGGTGACTTTGGCCCAGTCAGCTCAACCTACTTCACAGGGTTGTTCTTGTGGAGATGAGACTGAGAGGAGCAGAATGACGTAAGCTGCTTTGAGTTCAGTGTAAAAAAAAAAAAAAAAAGCGGTATAGAACTCAATCAAATAAATAAATGATAGTTTCCCATTGATTTGACTGAGTTCTATGGACAAAAGGCATTTTTTGGTGGGAATGTATTTGTGCATGTGTGTGTGTGTGTGCTTGCACGCATTCATACAATTCAGCCAGGACAGTGATGTCATGAAGGGCATGATGAGCATCCTTCCAAGTATCCCAGATAATTCTTTTCATTCCCTCTATATAGGAAGATAATGTGCTGCCCTGGGAGATGGTGCTGTGATGGGAAAAAAACCCTGCTTACTGCCAGAAAGCAGCAGATACCTCCTCACCAACAGCAACCTCCTTCCCCCAAGGCTCCTTCTTTCCATTCACACACCAACCACCCTAATGATGCTAGTGAATGATCAACTTCAGAGAAACAAAAAATATATCAGTGAGAAGGCTGAAACTGAACAAAGTGACACTATATAGTGAACCTATGAGTCACATGAAGAGGAGATGGGACAAAAGTGAACCAGTTTCAGCACCTAAAACAACTGAATGCCTTCTCATCTCAATTATGAATTCAAGCATTATAAATCAACATTGTTACAACACTATGAAATGTGATGCAATTCAATAACACAGTTTTAACTGTGATCAAGTATTAACAGTTCAGCATTCCTACTAACATCATTCATGTTTACAACTCATTACTTACAGACTGGTGGTAGCTCATACTCCACTTCCAATACAACTCGCTCACCAACATTCTTGAGCAAACTAATGATCTCATCATGGCGAAACTTTGTCAGGTTGATGCCATTCACAGATTTGATGTAGTCGCCCACATCCAGTTGGTCACTTCTGCAACACAAGCTCTTCTTCAATGAAGCAGCATTTATTTTCTCTTAATAAATAAATAACTTCACTTTGAAATGTACAAAGATGCACTTGTAATGTTTACAAGTTAAAACTGCTAATTTTCTAAAGCATAATAGCCAGTCTGCATATATTAGTTATGGATTGTCCCTAGTATTCATGGGACCTTACAAAACTTCATAGGCAAAAAATAGAGGGCTCCATGCCAAAAAGGAAGTGGGGGATAGGAAGATACAGATATAGATGTATCTCATCCAAGTAACCCAGTATTCTGACTGGCCAAAGCTCTTTAAGGTATCAAACAATAATCTTTCCCATCAGCTACTACTGTTCATTACACCTGGAGCTGACGGGGATTAAGTTTATGCCCCTTCTTCATGCAGTGTGGTAATCCTGAACTATGGTCCCTTAAATATTTAGTAATATAAGATTTAAGATGCACTGGAGAATTAAGTCATTTGGGTCACTTGTAGAAAATGTTGCCAGTTAAGAATAAGCTACAATATGGTCCACTTAACTATTATTTATATTACATTTAATTGCTTATCTTACCCAGTTTTTGTTTTAACTAGCTACTCTTCTATACAGGTCACTAAACATCCTCTTTTAATTTCTTTAAAATTACATCTTAAACTGTGAGATGTTTAATTATTAATTTTCAAAAAGAGTAGAAAGAAATTAATTATCTTGAAATAGTCTTAAAACACTTGACTGGTACTTCAAGTGTAGGAATGGAAAAGCTACTACTAAAAGGTTTCATTCTGTCCTTCTACTCTGAGAGGCTACCTCATTCTTCCCCAACTTAGAGTCCTCTAGATGTGTTGACAACTCCCGGCATCCTTTTTCCAGATGGGATGCTGACAGCTGTAGTCTAATACTTCCAAAAAGTACCGTTCAGGGAAGATGCAGCTAACTTAAAATTATTGATCAATGCTTATTGATTTATATTTTGAAGTGACCACATCAATTTTGTGTTTACCTAGCAGCAATTCCTCCTTGACGAAGGTTGGACACTCTTGGTTTCCCATCCTTGTCAATTCCACCAGATACGGTAAGCCCCAAGGTGGTGCCTTCTTTCTTCATTAATTCAACTATTGTTGAACCTTTGAATTCCTCTGTTGAAAGAAAATGATCAGTGATTTGAAGCATGGTGGTGGCTTGTTGTTGTTGTTTCTAAAAACCAATAATACTGCAAATATATTCTTGTTCAGGTTACTATTGGTATGGTGGTCCCATACAATGAAAGACAGAATGGATTGAGTACAATTATTTTTACTTGGCCTTGGCAGTTGTAAGCAATAGAATGTTCAGAAAATCTTTTTCAATAATGCATTTGTTAGCTTTTAAGGTGCCATGATAGTATGTTTCTTTTTTATTTTGCTACAAGTACTTTGACTAGCTTAAAAGACCTACAACTAATTATGGCATTTTAAAAGCCGTCTTTGATCTTTAGAGTAATAGGGATGATTGGTCTCACTAATGTCAAGCTTGCAGTGAGAAAGAGAGGAAAAAAGTTTATACTTTAAAGACCACAATTCAACACACGGCTAAGAATGCTTAACTCTGGATTTAACTTAGACTAAAGAATTTACAATCTGTAGTTGAAACACATGGAGGTCTATAAAACAAAATATATCGTAGGATGGTTTCACCCTTAAAGGTAGCCTAGAAACAATTTTATAGATAGATTTGATAGGGCAAACTAGAGATAGATATTTGAGTTAAATTGCAATGTTCTTATAGAACTCATCTAGATAATTATTCATAACTTATTGCTGAATTATGTGCATGACCTTTGAACTTGAGCACTTTAAATCTGTGAAAATGCCCTTTCTGTTTAAGTGCATACACAGTTTTTATCACTAATTTGGTAACCCATCATCCAACTAAAGATATTTTCCACATGTTCTAAATGAGTTTTGCTAATGTTTCCTACTCAGAAGTAAGTTCCACTGAGTTCAACAGGAAAGCGACTATAGCCTTGGACCTCAGGTACTGAATAGAAGGCTCTTCTTGGTCAATAAATCATTAGCCCAGGGCTCCCTAAAGTGGCAGCTGCAAAGAGGTCCCCAACATGATACCCAGAGGCACCCAATTTATCTATTTATCCTTTTATGTATTTATATACACATGGATTTGTATGAAATACACAGTTTCCAGCAATTGAAGATAAGCTCTGACGAAAGCAGACCAAATAACTCAAGTATCCATACAAAGGTGGTATGAATGCTGAATCAAATGCTGAAAATATTGTAGGAAGTGAGTATTTAGCCTCTTAGGAATATTTACATTATAGGAATGGAGTGGGACAGGATCTGTGCAGCCTGCCCCTAACAATCCCTGTGCCGCCAGCACTATCATAGATATTCATAAATTGAATACAAAGGTCTTGATCCAAGGTTGTAAGTACATTTGATGGAATTTCCCTGAATTGTGAATTCTACTTCATCAGGTTTTTCATGACATGTTCTTTGTAAGCTTTAGCCCACTTGTATTACCGAGCTAAGAACAACCCCTTAATCTGGAACTGAGACCTATTGCATTCCAAATTTGGACCTTGGGTCCCAGGTCTAGAATAGATAAATATTAGCACTGAAATGTTCTCTTGCTTTCCTGTTCTTTTGTATTCTCTTTCTGCTCTAATCCTTATAACTGCCAATGTGCCGCCAGACCTCAAGTTTCTCCACTACATTTATTACAATGTTACAAGTTTACCTGCTGCAGTCTGGAACACCTTTCCCGTTCATTTGTCTGGCAATTCTAATTTCCCCACCCATCTTTGTCTATTTAGTTCTTGGTTATGTAGCTACCTGCCAGGCTTAGCTTAAGTGTGTTGGGGAACAATCCTGTGTAGTCAGGAAAAAAATGGAGAACAGTACTGGGAATGGTAGGATTTCATAGACAAAAACTCCTGAAGTCCCCAGTATGCTTCAGACAGCATGGACTATTTTTCTGTCTAAATAAGATTGGCTCGTACCCTTAAACAACCAACCTCTTCATTCTGCACCGATGTTAATGCCATATATCAAGTTTATATTAATTGCTTTAAGTCTCAGTCTGTAGCTTATATCCAACTGACAGACAAAATATTTTGTCCTTAGACCCAGTATCATACTTACTAGTTAGTTATACATGTACACTTGTGTGTCAGGGCACTCATGAAAATGGAAACACAGGGTAATAAAACTTGGAAACTAATGCTTGAGGGTTACAAATGTAAAGGCTTATTGGGCGTGTGGAATGGTTCAAGCCATTTATTCTGCAATCCTAAGCAATGGATTACTAGGGAGGAAACTCCATTTAAGACAGTAGGACTTCTTCCAAGGTAAACATGCATAAGATTGTGCTGCCTATTTTAATATGCTTGCTTTAGAAAATGAACACAAATAAACTGCCTTTGTATGGAACACACTTTGGAGAAAATATCATGTCCATTGTGCAAATGGGATTTTGTTAGAACTTCCGTTGCACATATGAACTGTGCAGGATTTATCAGGCTGGGCTTTTTGTATCCTTCCGTTTGTATTTGCTCCTTTTCCCAACATGTTTTGTAAGCAATAAGAATAGAAATTGAGTCTTGGTGTCCTTGACATTCCCTTCCATAACCCAGACTCATTACATTTCTTTCTCAAGCTTCTTTTACAATGCTTTTCATTTAAGCTGAATGAACAATTGCACCTGTTCGTTCATTAAAGATGCTCTAGGGAAGCATTAGAAATACTCCTGGTTAAGGCTCCAGTCCTATGCACACTTATGCAGGAATATGTTCTGTTGTCACTGGGACTTATTTCTAATAAACAAGGACAGAATTGGACTGCACATGTTAAACTTCCATGTTAAATAGAACTGGGATTTCACCAGAGTAGTAAAATGGATCAACTTAATCATTTGATCCATAGCAAATTGAGATGTTTACGTATTTTCATATGCAGAGGAAGCTGCACCATGTAATCTTCTGTCAATGAAAAAAGGATGATGAGTAATATAAGAATAAGGATGACATGGTGGAGATTATCATTCAACTGCACAAGTTGCTATGCTCTCGTATATGAGCTGTTTACAAGGCTGAAGGGATGTTATGGCATCTTTTGCCTTGTTCATCTTATTCATGTCACTTCGTTGCCTGGCAGAATGCTTAGATTAACTATCTTAAAAACAAGGCAGCTCGCTTGATCAACACACACACACAGGACAGGTGGGCGAATAAGCTATGTTTTAGACAAAAGCATAACTTACTGCTCCTGAAAAAGGAAAAGAGTTAAACTGTAAAAGGTATAAAATGTTCCTTGTACTGGATACAAATTAGGCATGGAATAAAGGAGTTCTATCTGCAAGGATCTCACGACTCTTACGCACTAGAACGCCTTTTGCTGCCTCCTGTGCTGCCTCAGAAGGCCCCGTTATTTCCAGGACTGCTTTCTTACAGGTCATTAAAGTGGTTGCTGTGCAAAGGAAGGTCCTAAGCAGCCTTCACCAATCTAGTGTCTTCTGGATATGTTAGCATTTAACTCTCATCATTCCCTGCCTATGGCCATGCTGGTTGGGCACCAAGGGAGTTATAGTTCAACATCAACACACATGGATACTCTAGGCTAGGAAAGTTATCCTAAGACTCCCACTGAACTTAAAAGCGACTGCACCTGGCTCTTTGGATCCTTCTTCACTGACTTTATTTAGCTCCAAA